TATCACTCCGTCGTCCCATGCGTTTTCCCTTTTAATGTGGCTACAAACTGACAATTATCCAAGTTCATAGGCGCAAGCCTACACTAAATGAATATACCAGTCAATCCACCCAAACGAATTCGCCTACATACAGCAATAAGGCTGAACTGGATATAGAGAGAGTAGGAAGGCTTGCATAGAAGGCTAAAAAGTGTATGAATCAACTGTGAAATAATATTTGAATTGAGGCTAAGACGTCCTTGCAATCTGGGCGGACTGGACGAGGCGACTGAGACGAAAGCACTTTTCGCGGCATCACATACATTGGGCCAGTCAGTTTGGGCAATAGAGGGAACACACTCCACTTGGGTTCGAACGAAAACGGGGCGAGGTGGTCTTGAGGGGCAAAAGTGCGAAGATGGGAATAGGCCCAGGCCAGACAGCCGGCCTGAATCGGATAGAGAGTGATAGATAGAGCTGAGTGAGCGACGGGTATAGGGAGATTCTGAAGGGAGGACGGAACAACGGTCAGATTGCCCAGAATGGTCTGGCAAACTGACGTCATGATTAAATCGAGTAAATAATTTTTGACAGATTGCAGTACGACCGTCGACAGCCAGTGAGCCAGCCTGTATAGGAGTGGGCGAAAGGTGAATGGGGCCGAATCACGACTGTGAACGCGTGCGCGCACACGTGTTTCCTCTACATAAGTGTATGCACGTGTGTGTGCGTTTGCGTATCAGAGGGTGAGGGGTTTGTATGTATGCGGTGAAAGACCTGAAGTGTGAGTGAACAGCTCACCACAGCCTGGCCAACCGAGCTAATTTGCTACGATTAGACAGATCTCGGCCTACACGTCGGTGGCTAGGGTTTACGTCTGTTACGTAATCGCAAATGATTTAAGTCTGATCGACGTCCGATCCAAGTCACCTTGCAAGTGATCCCTGCAGTAGTCAGAAGAAGAAGGGGGGCGAGGGCCAAGGTATGATAGTATAGGGTGGAATTTAATTGTTAATATACTCTGTCGAGGTGGGGACGAGAGAGAGAGGCCATTTATATAATTGCCCGTTTTATCCGGATCTGGACGAACCATGACGGGTTAATCAAAAGGCCGGTAAAATAAGCGAGCAGGTCAAGTAAATGCATTTTTGATTGCCTTCACTGCCTACCATACGCTGAAATAGAGACATAAATGAATTCATTTAATAGTCAGTGCAGGTGATCTGGAAGTGATTTTCTGGCTTAGAAAACTGACCTTAACGAAGCTCACTTTAACTAATTAAAATGCATGAGATGGAATGTACCAAGTCACTGGCCCGATGCTGGAAATCATCATGAATACAATGGCAGAGGACGCAGAAATAAGTACATTCCACAAGGTATTTCTGATGCTCCGATCAAGTGGTGAAAACCTGGTCGAACCAACACAAAAATGTATGAGATGTATGCACCCTATTCCGTTCAAGGTTCGCAAAATGATATGAGTAGGGCTGACGTTTCCATTCAATTTTACATAGCCTTGCTTTCCCAAAAGTTGTTCTCATTCTGTGTGGACTGCACTTTCGCCGCACCTTCAGCGTTAGACTCGAAACCCTATTTACATACAAAAATGTATGACGTTGACACATCCTCCTTTAATATAATATAGAAATTGCATGTTTAAGTCTTTTGGTTCACGGAGAGTACTCAAATTCAAAAATTTACTGATAGTTTCGAAACCTACTTTATATGTATATAAGCAACCTAGATGGCTTTATTGACAAAATAAAAGTTTTCGACTTTTAATTTAGGTTTCGAAATCACCAGAAAATAAAAATAAGATTTGTGTTCACCCTATTTAGCTTAAGGTGAGTACGAACTGGTAGTTGAGTTTCTCCACAGTGATATTGACAGGCCGTGTGTTTTACTTGGATTTCATAGCCGAAAAAGGTCGTCAGAGAAGATTAAACTTCTACTTAATCACCTTAGATGAAGGACCTCAAAAAGTCTTTGTTTAAAATTATAGAGGTTCTGAAAGATCAGTAAAAGAGGAGCAAGTGAGGATCTTTAGTACATCAAGAGACCGTAAAGGGTGCTAATGGGACTCAGGTAGGGTTGAAATTGCATTGCCCTATTGATGAGAATACCTTTTGATAAGCCAGGCTATATGAAGTCAAGTGGAAACCTGAGGCCTAATCATATCACTGCGGGCAAATTCAAATATCAGTCTGTAATCACACTAAACGAAATAGGATGAACACAGTTCTTATTCAAAATATACTCGCAGTCCCGAAATATTACTTAAAAAAAGAAAATATTTAAGGTAGTCGATAGTAATACAATTTTGCTTCATAGACGATTCCACTGAAAAAGTGATATGGAAAATGCCTATCCTTCTTTGTAATTCACTCTTCACTTTGACATGAGAGCACCCATTGCCGTCTATTCGCCGAATCGCCTGCGTTAGAGTCCCGCTATGATGCTGATGAAACCTAGTAGTCGTCGAAACTGCACTCCACCATGGGTAAGAACGAATTTACGGAAGCATGGCTAAGTCAAATTCAATAGAAATGCTAGCCTTGATCATGTACTTTTGATAAAATTTCATAATAACATATTCATAACATGCGATTTAGGGTGGCTTGATTCTTATTCAGGATTTAATGGCGGTTTCGAAACTTATTTTATATGATTAGAAGTTTAGAGTTTTGGGAATGCAAGTTGACCGTCAAATGCATGCCGAGTTCAGACGAAGTTTGCCAATCATCTATACACTACACTTGTCTGGTGCATTTGAAGTTGTTATGGAAACTGTTTGGCGAATATGCAGTAAGACCAAAAAAGTGTGCAAAGCTAAAGCATACAAGGAAGGAGAGGATAACCCAACTATCTTTAAATCACCCAAATGGACCAAAGGTGAATAAGGCCTTATTCAAGGAGCAATAAAAGTTCTTTGTATGCAAAGGCAGATACATGTTTTCTTGAACGACGATGGAGGCGAGCTCAGTTAAGCTTGGATGAGGAAACATTTTTGGCGAGAAGGTTAGGGGAAACCCAATAGAATCTGTTAATTTTATCATGGGAAATTTCACACCACTCTTTAAACCACCTTAATTGAAGTAGGGTTAATAAATTTTTTTTAAACAAAATATGATTAATATCATAATTGCCGTTTAATTATACAACACTACTTATAAGTAACATATAATAAAAAACAAAACCAACAAATCAAATTTTCCTTATTTTATAAAACGGTTGTTGTATTTTCTTCGTTATACTATGATCATTCAAGTAGCTCATTAATTATTATTGCTATCATTCATACAACCTGGCTTAATGCCCGCATAACTGCGTAGATAGTGTGTCTGACAGAACAAAGTTGAAATAGAAGTAAAATATCGTTTACATACTGATTGTCATTTTGTATATAACGAATTAAGGATAGAACTTTTCTTTTATTAGGCCAAATTAGTAGCCTTATTGTATATACAATATTATTACGGCAACAAAACTGAAAGCGATCCTTAATCCTGAATAAAATCATAATTTGCTCATCTTCTATTGTCTTATTGGATGGTAAAGCTTAGTAAAGCATGATTTCAGACTTTGACAATATCTTGTTTGTGTCAGATTAATGCCCAAACCTGCAACATCAGACTGGAAGTACGATTTGCTGAACAATCTTTCACATAAATCCAAGGCAATTCTAGTTTGGTATGTATTAAGGCCCATTTACGACACCCTTTAATTCGTCTTGCCAAACAAAGTAAAGGTATGAAAACATGAATTTATGGAGTGATTATCCGAAAACCAGTTTATTTTCATACATACATGTTCCAAACTTTTCGAGTTGCATAACTTTACATCAAGCCTATGAAATTATTGTTAAGGTAGTTTAATCCTGTTCATTTTCAAAGCTATATTTAATGAATATAATTATACTGAAATTTTATATCATTACTCATGCAACTAAGAAAGTCTTTCAGAGACCACCTCATCGTTTAGTCAATTTTAGAATTAGGAAAAACGTTATAAAATTACATTCTTCGACAAAGACGAGCATCATATAACATTCTCGATTCGGGGGATTACTATGAACAATAAACAATGGTTGATAATTTGTGTCACAGAATTTCCTAATGGCTGAGGAAAGAGCATGATAAAGAATTTAGGAAATTATGTATAAGAATCAGAATAAAGCGATATAAGAATACATTAGAAATACAGACTAAGGAGCCGAATAGAATAAAGGTGAAAGTGGTAAACCTGTATAAAATAGCAGTTGTCACTACTACTGAAGTAGTTCTTTTAAAAGGTTTTAACTTTTCTTTGACAGATAGTATAGTTAACAAGTAGGAAACAAGAGTAGAACCCATACATTTTTCCGTTAATTTAACAGAGGAGACTAGGAATGTCAGTGAGTACTAGGTTGTGCATTCAACTGATAGCCATATGATACCAAATGGAAACTATGTGACAGATCAGATAGTCATGAGGACAGACAAAGGAGGAGTATATGTTGTCATAGGTAGGGTAAATTATGTATAAATATGACTTAGGTAATTAAAAAAACCTGCGTTATTATCAGTAAGGGTCCTATAGAAACCCTGAAGACTAGATTCGTGGGTTGCCTGCAACAGAGTATTATATTGGGGAACTAGAGATGAGGAAAATAAGCAGACTTAATTATTGAGAC